ATATTGTACTTCGTTCAGTTGCGTATTGCTCTAACCTAACCTATTGCCTAACCTCCCTCCTCCTTTCCTCCCTTCCTTCTCTCCTCCTCATCCTCCCTCCTCCCTCCCCTCCCTCCTCCTCCCTCCCTCCCTACCCCCTTCCCTCCCTCCACAATTGTACGAGGACATACACAGTACAAAACAAACACACAAACAAACAAACAAACAAACAATAAAACACAATCAAACAAACAAACAAACAAAACAACTGAATAACCATTAAAGACACGAAAAAACAAAAACAAAAACATTTCACACTCCTACGATTGTTAATTAACCTGAAGTTGAGTTAAATTACCTGTGATGTTCTCCCAGCACCTGAAGCGTCACAAGAGGTAAGTGTTAATATCCTTCCAGCCAGTGTTAATGTTAAGTTAATGAGTTCTTATGGTATTTCATGTCTGTTGTGTTTTGTTATATTTTTGAGTCCAGAGTCCGTATGAGTCCTAATGAGGTCCTTTTGAGTTCTTATGAGACCTTATGAGTCCTTATGAGTCCTATGAGACCTTATGAGTCGTATGAGACCTTATGAGACCTTATGAGTCTTTATGAGTCCTATGAGACCTTATGAGTCCTATGAGCCCTTATGAGACCTTTTGAGTCTTTATGAGTCCTTATGAGACCTTATGAGTCCGTATTGAAACCTTATGAGCCCTTATGAGTCCGTATGAGACCTATGAGACATATGAGTCGTATATGAGACCTTATGAGTCCTTATGAGCCCTTATGAGTCCTTATGAAACCTTATGAGTCATTATGAGTCCGTATGAGACCTTATGAGTCCTTATGAAGCCTTATGAGTCTTTATGAGTCCTATGAGACCTTGAGTCCTTATGAGTCCTTATGAGTCCTTATGAAACCTTATGAGACCTTATGAGTCCTTATGAGTCTTTATGAGTCCTATGAGACCTTGGGACTATGAGTCATATGAGACCTTATGAGACCTTATGAGACCTTATGAGGTCCTTATGAGACCTTATGAGTCCTATGGGTCCTATAGTTATGAGTGTATGAGTCCTTATGAGACCTTATGAGTTCTTATGAGAACCTATAGGGTCCTTATGAGTCCTTATGAGTCCGTATGAGCCCTTATGAGACCTTATGAGACCTTATGAGTCTTTATGAGACCTTATGAGAACCTTATGAGACCTTATGAGTCCTATGAGACCTTATGAGTCCTATGAGACCTTATGAGACCTTATGAGTCCTTGAAGCATTAGGTCCTTATGAAACCTTATGAGTCTTTATGAGTCCTTATGAGACCTATGAGACCTTATGAGTCCTTATGAGTCCTTATGAGTCCGGCGCAGTTAAGCCCCATAAGGTCGTCCCATTTTCATTTTGGCGGAGAATCTCTCCATTTTCTTATCTCGGATCTTCATTTGTTTTTGGTTTTTTCTGCTGAGGCAATTTTTGTCAACAGTTCATATCCAGTTCCTTCAGCGTCCATTTTTTTTCTTTTGGTATTTTTTTTCATGCAGACAAACACACAAGATGCCGTTCCTCACTTCTCTCACTTCTCTCACTTTCTCACTTCTCTCACTTCTCACATCTCTCACTTCTCTCCACATCTCTAACTTCTCTCATTCTCACTTCTCTCACTTCTCTCACTTCTCTCACTTTTTCACTTCTCCTTCTCTCACTTCTCTCACTTCTCTCATCAAATATTACCTTCGTTTCATATTCTTA